AAGCTCCGAGACCCTCAGATCTGTGGGTCTACACTCCCAGTTTTGCAGCAGGTAGACTTGCTGCCCTGTGAGCAGCGCAAGCTGTCTGTGTAGCTGGGATCCTGGGGACCCTGGCTGGAGTTGGAGCTCTCAGACCTCCTATGCCAAGGGGATGGCAATGTTTTTAGCTGGAGTGCCGAAAACACCCAAACCTCAACCCATGCCTCGACTCGGCATGCCAGAGGCAGATGGTGGGGGAGTTGCAACAGGCCTGATCCTTGTTGCTGGTGGCGGGTGCACACGTGCCTCTAGGCGGATGATGGGGGAGGTGCCAGGGTTGTGCTGCCCCAGGTCCCTTTCCAGCCATGCGCCCTGAAGCACACTTGCACCCACCATCGGCACAGAGTCCGGCTGAGGCTCCAGAACCCAGTGCTTCTGTTTGCAGCTTCCCAGCTGCCTGCCACAGCCAGCCCAGGCTCCAGGGAGCTGCTGCCTGCCACAGAGCCCCAGATGCTTGCAGCAGGGCTTGCAGCCTCCTGGCAGCCTGGGCTCTGTGCCCAGTGGCAGCTGCCCAAGTCCCAGGATGGCTGTGGCATGCCAAGCAAAATGGCCTTGCATGCCATGCTCTGGCACACGTGCTGCGGGTTGCCAATCCCCGTTCTAGGCTCTCCACTCCATAAATGGTTAACCTATGAGCCTGGGCTTGAGATGGGACATCTAGACTTCTTGTTCCATAGTGGGGAAGTCTCCTAACTCTGACCCGCTCTTCAAGCTACCCCTGAGTCAGGGACCCTCACTGGTCCCCCCTGGCGTCAATACAACCAGTTGCTCCATTTTGTTTTGGATGGACACACACGGGCACATCACGCCTTATGGAAAGTTGCTGCTCTGATTCCTGGTCTATAACATGGCAACAGGGATGCTAAAATTGGCCTGACCTGGGCTGAACTGCCTTTTATCTAACCGCTTAAAAAGCCTTTATAGCAGCCTGTGTCTCCAAGGCATTGAATAATGTGCTGTGACTCAAACTCTCCCTTAATGGTTCTTTCCTGTCTTTCTACTGAAACAATCTGAGTAACTTCTGTCCTCTGGAATTGAGAGAAATGTGTGTGTATCCATGAATTTGGCACTATACTGCCTGTGTAATGCAGCAGCCACCGCACATGCAGGCTTTTCACAGGAGACTTTGGCTCCTTGGCCTTGTTGAGGGAGCCGTTTTTGCTGAGTGCCTGTAATGCTAGCACAGGGAGGTTTACTCCTGTGCTTTCTCTTGCTGGGCATGAAGGGGTCTTGATTCACATGTTGGTTTTTCTAAGTGTTTCTATCACACTTGTCTGCCATAGTTACTGTTGTATTAATGACTCCAGTTGTGATCTGCATTGTCAAGAGCGGGGCTGAGCAGGGCATGGGGCAGATCAGGAGAAAGAGAAACTTCTTCTTCCCCCTCAGATCCAGCCCCGCACAGTAACCCTGGGCAGATCTTACCATCAAATCATAGAAAAAGGCTCTTTATGTTAATGCTTTTGCTGAATGAGATGGGCAGCTCCCCATTAACCATTGCAGTGAGACCATGTTGCACCCAGCAGG